TGGTGTGAGATTCCTGCTGAGCACGAATCTCACCGTGTGCAGGGGTGTGAGATTCCTGCTGAGCACGAATCTCACCGTGTGCGGGGGTGTGAGATTCCTGCTGAGCACGAATCTCACCGTGTGCGGAGGTGTGAGATTCCTGCTGAGCGCGAATCTCACCGTGTGCGCCGGGCATTAGGCTATAGAGTATAGTTCTGCTAAGTAGCTAGGACTAGGAGACGACGTCGTCATAGAAGCTAGTAACAATCGTGTTTGACAAAGCAGCACTTGACGGTACCTCTACCTTTATTTCATTACATCAGTGATCATACAACGTGAACGGGAGACATATTTAGTCTTTTATGTATATATATATATAATAGTTTACACTTTAATGATTATAAACACTCGTGTTGTAGTCGTAGGCAAAAATATATGAATAATCTCTCGTTCAACTTGAGAGCGCCATCTATCGACCGCGAACGACAACGATCCGCGATTGAAAACGCACATAATATACTCTTGAGCTACCTATGTCGTGTTTAGTATTTAGAGATGCATGTCATTGCAGCATGTACGATGGGATTACATGTACATGTACATGCAGCATACATGTACATGCAGCATACATGTACATGCAGATACATGTACTGATGTACATGCAGCATGTAAGATGATGCAGCATTTACTGCTCACGCTACTACCGCACGCACGCACACGCGAAAACACGCACATACGTACGCGTGTGTGCACGCACGCACGCACACAATACATTCTGGATTACAACAGCATCCACTTTGCAAGATGCATCTCAGAACGCAAGATCTGCAAGAGCCATAGAAATATATAGAGTATATAGTATATTATTTCTATCGCGAGAACGCAAGAGACAAATCCGATCAGAGTGCGCACGATAATCAATAATCGATTCGTTAACAGTCAACCAGAGCTGCGTGTATGCACCAACGAACCATCCCTCGCATAGAAGGCAATGAATGCAGATATGACCATAGTCACCATACACGTACACAGATGGATGGATGGATGGATGGATGGATGCATGGGTGGATATAGACAGACAGATAGGTAGGTCAGTGGGTGGATGGGTGAGTGAGTGGTTGGTTTGGTGTTTTTTCTTAAGTTTTGGATGGGTAGGTGGGTGGATGGATAGATCGACAGACAGACAGACAGATATAGTCTGTGTCATCGCTGGTGTAAACGCAACCGGCAGTTAGATGCGATATGATATGACTACTAGGCACTTTAATTTAATTTAATTTTTTTTTTTTTTAGGGTTAGGGTTTAGGTTAGGTTTAGGTTAGGTTAGGGTTAGGGCTAGGGTTTTTTTTTTTTTAAGTGCCTAGTAGTCATATCCTAAGTGCCTAGTAGTCATATCATATCGCATCTAACTGCCGGGTGCGGTGCAAACGCCGGGGCCGTTACCATAGTGATTCAGGATAGAGTTCTCACGTAAACATCCGAATTCATGA